ACTATGTTCAAGTTACTGTATGCTGTAATAATCAGCTTACCTATGATGTTATGTCTGTGACACAATACACATGTAGAACATTGTCATGACTGGAGGATGTCATGTTAGGAGAGACACAACTCGTTCGTCAAACTCTCCTGCCACGACTTCTTCTCATTCAATACATAAGGTCCTAATACACTATTTAACAATCTGATCTTTTCTTATATACACATCACTACTGACATTTTCACATTAAGGTTACAATGACCTAAGTATCACTCCACCCAAGGGACGTTTTACACATGTTCAGGTGAGATCGCATTCCTCTGCCTGATGTCATTACTCAAGTACAAGGTTTTGATCAAAAGAAACAAAACAGAATAATATTTGACTCACAAAAAGTCCTTTTCATAGATCATATTTAAGAGGGAATACCCATTACCTAAATAATGCCTAAATTTAGATGTTTACGGAAGGATTCAAGTACTGCCGAACTTTGGAAAAAGTAGATCCATCAGTGTACAATACGGAAATCGGAGTGCAATATGGAATTCACCTAAGCTCGCTGTATTACACGGCTGTTTTTCTATCATGAGATTAAATGGGTATAAATAAAGATGTGATACATGTAGTTTGTTCATAATAGGATTTTTTAGATGCTATGTTAATATTTTGAGTTACACTGCATTTCCATTGTTGTTTTTGTCATCAGCATGCCAGTGTGTTCTATCAATCATCGATGCTTGATATTTTTGTGATATTTTGTTCATGATACCACTTTCTAATGACATTAAATGTTCTGTATTTATCAATATGATTGAGTTGTTTAAAGTAATGTAAAAACTTTATAGCACATCAATTTATAACCAATCATGATTATTATGCCAAGTCTGTAACTAAAGGGAGTTAACTCCTTGTTCCTCTCCATATTCTTCACACTCCCCCTTTTCACCCTGTATACTCAATATTTTGGAGAAGTACAAGAGTATATATTTGAAATTGGATTTGTTTTGTTTTGTTGCTTTTTTACCTGGAGACATGAATTTTTGGTCCAAAAATCTGGAAGCCCCTCTGGCCTAATTTGTGGAATATGCATATGATTAAAACAGTTTATGAAAGTTTCATTCATGTGCACAGGTGCCACAGTGAGTCTTAGCTGATAGTACATTTTATATCAATTGTCATTTGAATTATTTGCAAATTACATTACCAACATGATACAAAACCCAACACATCAAAACTTGGGACATTCCGTTTACCAGTGTATCAGTGAATGCATGGCTGAATGAAGCATCTGACACCATAAGATATTCTCAACTAGTAAATACAAGTGATATACAAGTGCAATATTGTTGACCAGCTTCATAGCATACGTAGGACTAGTGTTGGGAATTGACTGAACTTGAAATCTCACAATTGATAATTGGTTCATTAAAATAATGGTTAGCATCCTTTTTCAGATTTTCCTATTCAGGTTGTTGTTTCAGATAATTATAATGTGGTTCTCTGTTGTTGTTTTGTTTTATTTAGAAACTGCACAAATTTCACATCCAATGTAAAATGATGCAAACTGCAACTTTAAGGTGATGTTTAATGTATCTTGAACATTAGCTTACCTGAATCTTCAAGAAATATTCAGTCATGACTTTTCAGTAAGTGAAGTGAGTTTTCTAAGAATTAAATATGTTTCAGGCTCTGATAACGTCTAAGATATGTTCCATTTTCAAGTGTTTCAAACACTAAAACAGTAATTCCAAAACAGTTTGAGTTCGATTATGAGAAAATGTGAAGAAAATTGCTTGGTCGTTTGGTCACTGCGACCAATTTTCGATTATTTCAATTAATCGGAACACCACTACGTAGGACCTTAAACATTTCATGTGTGAACAGCTATGTGTTCTTGTGCTTCAACATATTACACAGTCCTTGAGACGAAACTTGTTTTGTTCTGTGTCAGTGGGTAACCCTCTCCTAGTTTTATAGCTGGTACGGCAGATTGGGTTTCAGTCCCAGCTAGCTGTGTGTGATGTAGAATGTGTCACGGTGACCTACATGTCATTAGACTTTCCTGGAGAGACAGGATGCTGTTACCTCCAACAGGATCTGACCAGGCTGTTTTACACAGCAATACAATGGGGAATTGCGTAACATGTTTGTGTGTTTATTTCAATGACAGTGCACACCAACATGACTTGGAAGGTAGGCCATGTTTAGTAGGTATTTGTGAGTAGATAATAGAATGAGTTGGTAGTTGTGTGAGGACAGATTAGACCCCAAATACCTGTATTGTAGTTTATGAAACATCACTCACTCACTCACTCACTCACTCACTGTCTCACTGTCTCTCTCTCTCTTTCTCTCTCTCACTCACTCACTCACTCCAGCTGCTACAACTGAAGCAAGCTGAGTGTTCATGAGCCAGATGACATTCCTTGTTAGTCTTTACCCACTCATCATTGTTAGATAAACCAGGCTGAATGGGAATAAATATTCTTTGAATTAATTATATTAATAATGTTTCATAGTTACATTTTAACCACACTTAGACACATTTTCTCTGTTACTGTAAATTATTGTCTGAATTTCCAGATACCTGAATCACTACCAATATAAGACCCATCAAAATGCAGGTTACAATTGGTCTTCAGCATGCCATGCTTGTTGTAAGAAACAGGTAATCAGCATGTCATCATATCCCAGTTGTATAAACTGATGCTCATGATGTTAATCACTGGGTTGTCTGGTCCAGACTTAATTATTTACAGCCCACTGTCATATGGCAGGTATATTGCTTAGTGTTGTGTTAAACAGCAAACAGAAATCTATCAAATTTTTTGAAAATTATGTACATGGATGCACAGAAAACAGGAACTGTCTGTACACAAAATATTATTACAGTATAATGCTCTGCCAAATACTACCATCAATCCCTTCAGTGAATTCATACATATAACTATATAAATATAAGCGTTTATTGTTTTGCCAAGATATCTTTTGACTTATACCGCAGCGTGACCAGTAATCACTGAGACAGAGGTACAGATAAGCTGCGTATCTGCGTAAATTACACAAATATTTATGTGAAAACTCAATTCCTATTATGTCTATTGCGTACAAGTACTCTTGAAGTTTTGTAAATACTCACTAAATGTGATCTTACATGCCTACACGCAAAAATGTCCAATCGTAGCTTGCGTACCGGTGGATAGATAAAATAACTGATGTATATTGAGAGGTTCTATTTTAGGGCATGAACTTGACAACTTGCAGTCTTTCTTATCATTTCTCATATTACAGATCAAATCACAAACACTAACATTTAAACTTTATTATATTTTTTAAATTAATGGAAAATACCCAATTGAGTTTGAGTGAGGTGAGTACAGTTTATTTGGTTACCCAATTGAGATGAACACAAGCGAGTACATAACTCAATGACCCGAAAAGTTATCTGTAGCTATGCTGAGATTTCCCTTTGGTTCTGGGCCTAGATTTTCGAAGCTCTCTTAGCGCTAAGATAGTCGCAAGCACCATTCATTAACATTGACTTATGACTATCTCAGCACTAAGAGAGCTTCGAAAATCTAGGCCCTGCTGTTCCTGTTAGTGAAGGGGCAGTGGAGTGGCCTAATGGTTAAAGCGTTCGCTTCTCACCCCGAAGACCCGGGTTTGATTCCCCACATGTGTACAATGTGTAAAGCGTATTTCTGGTGTCCCCTGCTGGAATATTGCTGGGATATTGTGGCGTAAAACCATACTCACTCACTCCTATAGTAAAAATACTTTTAATAAGTCAAAGTATGACATTTATGATATATTTATTCATTATGAACTTATGAAAGTTTCAAGTCAAAAGCATTTTGTGTACTACATAATTCATGTCACATACATCCGGCATGAGAGGTTTCCAGATGTCGGGGGTCTGTATAAGCGGGATTCCTCTGTACTGTATTTTACCCAATTGTATTGTATTTATCAGCTGTTCTCATGGCTTTATTTGTTACTGTCAGTATATTTTTCAGATTGTAATTGTAATTTTACGTCTTTATTTAGTGTTCCTAGTTGATTAGTGTACTAACCTTTGTTTCTATGAAGTTCAGAGGCACTGATCTACAACATGGACAATATGTATAGCTGTATTTCAATACCCTATCTTGTCATTATAAGCTCATTGGGTTCTGACAAAACTGATCAAGGATACCACTGCATTCAAGATCATGTTAGTTCCAATGTCAATGAAACTAAAATTTTGAGATGGTAATAGGTAGATGCTCATATTCCCTATTAACGTTGATCTTTCATTATGTAAACAAATGTGTGAAACACACAAGAAGTTATCAGAGGCCCAGATTAGCTGTGTATACGGGTAAAATACGCATAGAAAATTTCCAATTACACATTGAAAACAATTGTTGTGTACCAATTACGCATTTAAAATGTTAGATACGCAAAAAGTTTAAAACAAATGCGTACAGAATATATTTATAAAAATCGCTTGCGTAATGAAAAAGACATCGATTGCTATCAAGTTGTACTGTTAGTATAGGACTAGTGTTTTACTGTCAGTATAGCATGACTGATTTTTTAATGAAATTATTTGCATTACATTTCAGTTGGTTTTGATTAGGTATGACATGAGGCAGGACATACCTGCTTAGTAAACTTACTCAATGACATAATACTTAGGTAAGTAAAATGACTGAAATACGCACATATTTGAAAGCAGTAGGTAACGGAAAATGAAATACCCACTCAACATTCATAATACCCACTCCAAAAAAATACAGTGGGTACAGTACCCACATGAGCTAAATCGTATCTGGAGCTCTGAGTTATGGATTGTCAAGTTGAACCGTAGTATAGGGCACCCATAACACATGTGTGTTTCAAACAAAGCTTTCACTGTCATCATTGCACATTACATAAATATTCTGCAGTTTAAAGAATTAAAGTGAGACCTAACCCAGTCTCTCTGTATCTGTGTGTTGTGTGATGAATACTGTGTGTATATTTTACAGAAAGTGGCCAGTGAGGAAATGGATCGAACCGTGGTGGTGTCGATAGAGGGCATGACATGCCAGTCATGTGTCAAAACCATCGAAAACAACATTGCCAAGGTGAAGGGCGTACTGGAAATCAAGGTAAGAGAGTTGTTTTTAAAATACTGTCCTCAGCAACATTCCAGGTATATCACAGTCGCCTGTACATCATCACTTCTGGTCCAGACGAACCAGTGATTAGTGTTATAAGTGGCAAGCAATGAGCCAAGTCACTGATCTGGACCATCTGATCCCCTCGACTGCCAACTACAACCACCTTAAGTTACACCCGAGAAAGAATGATTTTAGCTCTTCGTATTTGTGCGTTTTTCTTCACTTGAACAATGGACAAATACAAATACTTGGAGGGTCATAAAGCACTCTAGACAGATCACTTATTTATCATGTTTATATGTAGTCAAGGAGATGTTCCACTGTCACACTCCATGGCTGCAGTATGAATTGGAATTGTGTGCATCTTGTGTAAAAAAAATATCAATGTTCACAGCAGGAATGTCAGTGGTGCCTTGTCATGACCCAAATGTTTAAAGAATGATATGCATACACACGCACGCACGCGCATGCACGCACACGCACGCACACACACACTCTCACACACACACACACACATACACATACACCCATACAAGCACATAGCTCCCCTTCATATTGACAGAAGCCCACGTTGTCAGCAGTCAGACAGTAACAGTTTCAAGTGAGACATCAATTTAAAAAAATCAGTGATGTAATAAACTTCTACTCTGCAGCCATACAACCTTGAAACATTTACCTGCCTGAACATAAAGGATGCCCATTGTGTGAATCTCGGTCCCCTCTGTGTCCTTGATATGGGACCACGACAACATCTGTTCGTTATAAGTGGTTGTTTACTGCAAGCCCTTTCATCCATAACATTTGAAATAAAATGAGAAGGTATGTGGTTCGTTGACAATCGGCTACAATTGACATTCTCAAATAATCAGGGTAGTGATAAACAGTTCCAATGGAATATATGGACTGGAATGGAATATGATTCAACATTCACCAAGTGAAAGTAGCTCTGAAACATCTTCATAAACTCTCAAGAAGTTGTTGCAATTAATTTATGTCTACATGTTGTCCAAATGAAATGAAATGCAAGACTTTACCAAAGGGAGGTAACTCTTCTGCCCATACATGTACAATCACCTATATCAGTGTGTGTGTGACATGTGGCATCTATCATGATGAATCGAGGAGAATAACAACATTTACAGATTTTAATTGGATGTAAGACCTGGCATTGGATGTCCTCTTTCCAATTTTCTTGATACAATGATAGTCATAACAAGACACCAGGATATGCAATCACTTGCTCATGTCATATAGGTGTGAAAACTTTGCCATTGCAGACTGGCTTCTACATAAGGTGTTGCCTTGGTTTGATCAAGTGGAAGTATTGCTACTATAGAATATTATTTACTATTTGGTATTTTTGAGGCAATGAATAGATCTTTTTCAAAATTCCAACTAAAACGCTGTTTCAAGTCACTTTGAAATTAATCTGTTGAAATGTGTCACATCTGGCACATACTATCTTAGATGCTTGACACAGGGTCATTGGCATAACAGAGATGTGAAAAGACAAACAGGGCTCCTGGTAGTACTGCTGCATAGTGGTTTATCTTTATTGGAGAAGTAAGTTGTAGGAATCTCAAAATGATAGACTATCTTTATTGATGAAATTTAATATTTAGATATTGTGATAACATTATACCATGCTTTAGATTCCCTTGTTTCTTATTTAATGCAATCAGTCAACAGCCATAAAGTCTACAGTTTGCGTGTTTCAAATTGACTTGTGACTGAAATCTGTTTTACTTGAACATCCATTATATACTGCCAGTGTGATTGTGCTGCCATTCTGAGGTTTACTGTCATTACCTTGCAATCACTGGTATTGATATGAAAACCTAGTTCATTATATTTGACGATTCATGATGGAATACCATTCTTTGTTATTTGTTTGTTTTACACTGAATTCTTTAGGCATTGGTTTCATATTGTTTCAAATTAGACACAGAACGTGATTATATCAAAGTGTAGATTCCATCCTTGCCCTTTTAGGGGACTTTTCTTGTCTCTGCTGCAGTGCCACAACCAAGAAACATACTCAGGGCAGGTATGCAGTGTGCAAAATTAATGCTGGTCCTGTGGTCCGTGGCTAGAAAAACATCATCAGGACCATTAAATGATATGTTTGCAGTGGTCCTGGTGGCCAGTGAATTTATACTGATAGTTAAGTAAATCTACGAATGTTATTTTGGACCAGTCAAGTACAGACAGGAGCACTAATTATCGTCCACTCACTGGTCCAGTGGTCTAGTGGGAAATTTTGAAAGGTTTCTCTCCCTGGGTATGGGATTTTGGACCCATGAATATGGGTTCTGGGCAGACTCCATCCCAGCTGTGGTAAATGTATGTGTGTTGTTTTATATTTTGACTAGTTCCTCTACTCAGAACTATGGGCATTTCCATAGCGTTTTCCTAATTCTGTCCTACGAAGCCATTAAAAAATCTACTCATAGATTCAAACCAAAATGACAAACAGTCAACACGCAATCAAAAGATAAAAGATCTATTTTTAGTTGTTTGATCGGCATTCTAGAAGCTGGTGAGTCAAAAACTGAAACACAACTTTATGGATGACAACTTCTTGTCTATTGCATAGAGTGATGTTTTGATGAAGATTCTTACACCGTTATCAAGCTGAAAGTGACTACAACCAAATGATGAGAAGTATATACATAGTATGTTTTGACAAACAGCAGATTAACATTAACAACAAGATGTAATTGAATAACAACTGGTACAGCATTTGGTTGTAGTATTGTATATGCAATAAACAAGAAGTTGTCATCCATAAAGTTGTATGTTTCTATTTTTCAAAAGATGTATTTTGTCTAATAGGCTGATCGTTACCTGGTTGTGTGACACCCACAACAAAGTAAGGAAAACAGTTTGGTCCCAAGAATCTGTTATCTAACCCTAGTTTTCAGATGACACAGCATTTACCAGAGAACACTGTCATGCTTGGTTCATTGTCATCAAGGGCAGTTCAGATACATGTACCATATTTCCTGTAATAAGCACCACAAGACCTACTTTAAGACCAATCTGTAAATTATCATTATGACTTCACATGAAAATATTTAAATGACTCTACTTTTGTGTATATTACACATAGTTTACTGAAAATACTGCATAGAAAGGGTATATTTCTGTTTTCAGAAACTTCTTGAGCTTTAAAAATGTGGTTGATACGGTACATCGCCTTTGGATAGCCCAAGCTTATTTGCCTAGATCTTGTTATCTCCTGGATGATATATACACCCAAACATGATATACTGAGGTCGTGATAAACTGAAGACAAGCTGTGTACCTGCATAAAGCATACACAAAATAGACAATAATAATAACTCACCTTTTGTATTACATTTCAGCTTGCTTTCTTTGAACCCATGGTTTGAAATTAGAAAAAATTCAGGATTGCCCAAGGGCACTGAACCAGTTTATCAGGTGTTTGTTTTACTCAATAATAATAGCAAATCGCAGGTAATCAATTAGATAAAAATTATTAATGACATAAATATGCTCAGGGTCAAAACATACATGAGGTTGGAAGACTTTGATATCGAGGTAATTTCAGGACTGTAACACTGGTGGAGTATTGACAGAGACACCCAACTATCCGTCTAGATCATGGTCATCACTTGTTATCAGAGAATTATTTCACAGCATTCTGGAGAATCTAGGAAACAGAGAACTTGTCCGACTCAGCCAACATGTTAAACAATGCCAGGAAACATAGACGAGATTAAAGGTACAGATGGGCAGTGGTGAAGTTCTCTCAATAGTCACACCCTGTTCTTTTACGTGGAACAGCAGCACAGAAGGTGTTTGAAATTAATTAGTCATTTTTATGAGAAAGGTTTCAGCTTCTTGCTGTTTGAGCTGAGTTTCTTCACTGATGCTTGATGTCTGAAACAACTGTAACTTGTGTTTGATTTTATGAAGCATTCCCCTATGGTAATATTTTGAGAGCGCCATGGGTCACTTTACAACAGCAGGGATTTACCTTGAGTCCTAAATTTGAGGGTCCCTGGGACTCATACTCTTAATTTTCAGGGGTCCTGGAATACAAAATGGGGGTGCCACTCTGACACTTAAATATCATTATTAATACTATGTTGTAAATTTGTTGTAGTTCAGTTACTGTTATTGTATTGTGTATCATGATCACACATTGTTATAGTAATTAAATTGCACATAATACCATAACCCAGCTAGTAGCAGTAGTAGTACTGTCACTTGATTGGAATTTTTACAAAAAGTATTTGGACTTTTTCTGCGACCCTGTGGACGAGCTAATAAATTTTGTTGCGTCCATTGTCAATTTTTATGAGTATAGGACACAGGAATTCGTCCTGTAAATCCCTGCAACAGATGTGATACTTTTCCTGATATCTTGGCTTGTAATGACAATTGGCTAGTTCAAGTCTTTACTATGATGATGTTGACAGTACAGGTTCATGTCTCCCTGGAACTATTAGTGGAACATTGGAATTGTTAAGAACAATTGATATTATGCCTTATATCTGTGCTGAACTTCGTTTGTGACATGACAATATTTCTGTCACTGTGGTCTTTAGGAAATACCAAACCAGGAAATCATGAACAGCTAAAAAGTCTGTCTGTTTACGTCAGCAGTGACGTGCAGGGCTTGGTTGGAAGTGACTTAATTAATATCTTATTATGTGTACATGTCAAATTGAGACAAGAGAAGTGTCAAAAGTAAAATACATGTATTGCATCTCATCAAATGACATGTCTATGTAATATCGTGTAATGGCAATGCAGTGTAGGTATAATGGTTGGATGTGCCAGGTGTGAAGATATATATCTTCTATGTTGGCCCACTCAACAGTATTTAAACCTCTAACAGTTAATGAGATTTCTGACACAGATTTCTCATATAATAAATGAGCATGCATATGCATATCTTTAATCTTTGCATAATAATGAGTAAAAATTATATGTCAATTAATCATTATGACCTTAAA